TAATCGAACGCATACACTGTTTGTTTTTTAATTGGATCAATAGACGTTTTCCCAGCCAGCTCGCCTTCTCGCTACAATATGTGTATCTCGATCAGATCTGCACATGTTCCACCGTTTTATCTTCGATCTTAAAACCCGCAAGTTGTCCTATACCGCCCCCCCCCTCGATTTGCTGAACATTAACCATTTTCTTGGAGGATGTTTTTACAAACTGTCAAATTATTCGAATTGTTAATCCATCAGAACCTCCTTTNCTAGAATTCTGAGGAATGCTACCTGAATCTTTCCCGGTCCATTGCACGTCAACTCGATGTGGATAATCTGCCGGGTCAACGTTCTCTAATACACGTGCCCGCGGTCGAACGTCAACTGGTTCAACGTGAACGTGCTCAGGCATTGGGAATTTTGTCACAACGCATTGCCGTGTTACGGGAACAAGTGCAGCGTAAATCGGACATGCTTAGCAACTACGAGCACGATATGGGCAAGTTGAGGTACTGTTACACCAATGGTTAGCTCATTTGGCATGAATTGCATCATGACACTTTTTGTAGTCCGGAAACAGTTGTTATGTGAATCGCTTTTGTATTGGTCAACTATTTCATTTGTTAACCTTTTTAATCGTTATTTAAAGACAAGCTGAAGTGTTGGCGGAGGGAAGAAGTGAACAAATCGGGCGCATGGTGGCAGATTTGCGAGCCAAAGAAACTGAAATTCAACTGTTACGTCAAAGTCTCGATCGAACGAGGGAAGCTCTGGTGAATGAACAACGCATGGTTTCGGCAATTCGAAAAACTAAGGTGAGTCTTACTAGATGAATCGTACGATATGGGAATTTCTCAATCTCTGTTGTTAAGTGAATAATAAAGAACCGAAACAAACGGCTGCAGCTCCGTGATAACGTTGCAAGGAAAAACTGTGTTCGCAACTGTGTCCCAAATAAGTCTATTCCGATGACTTGTTTTTTGCTAGAACATCGAGAAAACCAGATTGTTTTTTGTAAATTTTGATGTCCATTGCTAATATTTATTTAACACCAAATTGCGAGAACAAGATTTGCTCACGAAACTGAGCAACGAGTCTCAGCACAACATACACATAGACAGCACATCTCTTGTACGTGTTTATGCAACATTTCACGCGTATGGTCGATGTCGATATTAGGCCAGCTGCTCTGGTTCTTTTACTCAAACAGCTGTTCAACCTTTGTAATTCGACAGATAAACTTCAGTAGTACATGGTGTCTTCTGATCTGTGTTCTACAGTTCTTTCCGTCGTTTTATATATATTGCGATTGGTTAGTGGCTACTGGAGATACTTTGTCATTCGCAGCTCAGGGGAGAATATACGTAACCTTCTGACACTCCTAACACAGAAGGTGTAAGCGCATAACCCAGTTTCATAATTTGGCAGTCTTTTTTGAGTCACATGAAACTTTCCTATTCGGTTGGTTAAAAAAAATATACCACCCAGATGGTCAAAATTATAGCTTCGCTGATCTGCATAATATCTCAAGGTCTTAGTGAAAGATGAACACTGTTTTTCACAGGGATGCTCCTCAGCAGTGGCAATGAAACAACCGGATACTGAAGCGGAATACCCGAGGAATGCACTGCTGGCAATTGGACAGCTTGTCAAATATGTTCCACCTCTTACACCTAATTTTTATCGGATTGAGGTAACGCTCGGTGTTACACGACTATTTAAAGAATAGACAGGACGTTCCGTTTAGTCAAAATGTATTTTGCCGCAAGTCTACAATCAAGCCAGGGAACGGATTTTGCTCACTTTGTCTGCTGCANATTTCATTTTCATGGAAACTTTGCAATATTATTCAGATCTGTGAATCGGTGTTTCGAACTATATGAATGATATTTTTGAATCATACACGAAAATTTCCCTTTGCGTTCTATCTTACCTGAGTGGGAAAAAGTCCACGTGACTCATACTAAGCTTCGGACCTGCTAAAAACATTTGTTTTATTAGTATATTTATTCTTTCCTGGGTCGTGATTGCCAACGTAGAGCCTGATGGTATTATGCAGTTCACAATGCATACAAAACGATCGACGGTGAGTACCAAACGATGGATAGATAACCCCTAGTTTCGATAAAGTTGGTCAGACTGTAATCTGAAGTCAGGTAATGGAAAACTTTATGGTGTAGTTCGTGTTACGCTTCCAGGGGAATTAACGTAAACAAGGTTTAGAAACAACAAGTGACATAACTAAGTATTGTATACGGCAGTAGATGACCTTATTCACGGTGCATATTCTTGAGAAACTGCTATGATAGGGAATTTCAATGAGACATCGCGGCTAAAATAAGTCACTATCCTGGTACTTGGTGTTTTGCATCGCCTTCCCCTTATCCCAAAGAGTTATTCCAGTACAAAGCTATATTATAGTACAGGGTATGCAAAGTGATTGGTTCGATGAAAAAAGTTTCATATTAATACATAAAGCCCCAAATGTGTCTTATGAAGTGAGAAACACCGCATACAGTGAATCGAATGAAACACCTGGGTATGCTACATCTTCATTGCATAAAAGCATTTTGGTATTACTGTGAAATTTCATGCAAATGCATGATTTTCGTCAAAGTTAGTTGGCATTGTGAAAATTTCCTATCGTTATGCTTGTGCTTATCCGCAAATAACGAACACATGACGTTGAATGAAGTATAAAACGATCCGTTTGCTGTAAGCTATTCAGTCGTCAGATGTATCTGAGACATGGGACCCTAGTGTCCAAAATCTGTACACTAATGCTCTCGCGTTAAGTCACCATTCGAATTCAAAGGATAGTATGGATAGACTTTTGGTTATCAGAAACCAGTTTGGATTCCAAATTCTTAATTTATGTATGAATGCCTAGGGGCTTTCTATTCGTGAACCTGCAATACTATCCTACTCCTTTTTGCACGTCTTAAAAGCATCCCATACCGGCCCAATTGGTGGATTCCAAAGGAACAGTGGATCGGAAGAAGCAACCACATTGCCCTCCGAATGATTCCCTGGCAAAGGTGAGACAATTACGGGGCGAGTATTGATGACCTGGGATTTTACAGGTATCCCCAGTTAGCATAAAGCCAAGAATGTGAACAATAGCAGCTGCGTTCGCATCTTTATTCGTGCTATTTCTTTTTCGACCATTGTTTTATCCAGGATATTTTATTTTAAAATCACAAAAAAATGATCGGGTGGTATGTGATAATCTCAAAAATAAAATTATCTGGAATGTATTAATTACAATTGATTATATACATATATAAATCTTAATTTGGAGAATGGAATTCAGTTTAGGAGTAGTTAAGCGATGCATTTGATTGATAATTTTTTCCAATCATCCCTTTTGTACCGAATGAGCAAGACGAGCGAATCCGCAGATATTTATACCAACGAATAGGTCATTTTAGTGGTATCAAACAGGGTGTACATCGTCCAATTCGCCGAGGTTCAATTCCTACAACCCCAATGGATATTCACTGGGGATGACTGCTTTGAGGGACCGAACAGGTGAATAGTACTCTGTGGTTGACATGCATAATTGATTTACCACAGAGCCATTGCTTTGTAGAAGTAAGGTGATCAAAGGATCTGGCGCTATTGTTGTAGACCGTATCGGAGCTAAATCCGAAACAAAGCAGAACTAGCACACTTTGTGTTTAGGCAGCTCTGATGCTTTATCGACTCGTCTAAACCGCTTTTATTTAGGCTTCTAGCAGCACTGACTAAATAAGGCCAACGAATGAAAACTGTCGGATGATTTGGGTCCAAAAATGATCCATAATGTTTGAGGATGCACCACTTCAAACGAGTGTCTTAGCATTTATTATTGTCATTGTTATTATTACTATTATTCTAACTGAATATTGACTCTTGACGGTGTCCTACAGAGCTCATACAGAATGATCAGCAGGAGAACTCTCAATATATACGTATATATTTATATTCGAAGTTCAATATACATTTTACTTCATCACACCACAAGTCCTTTATTTACTTGAATCTACTTTCCGAAAATCGCTTTACTTTAACTTCGAGGCAAGCGTACTTGGATCAGCATCAATAAGGAGTCCGGGGGTAGTCCACATATCTTCAGATTGAGAGAGAGATAAACAGATACTTAAAAAACCGAACATCTTGACGAGAAAGTGAAGTTGCTTTATTTCAGTTCACGAAACTGTTTCCAGGAATCGTACAATACCACAAATTTGTCTATTTTTTCCACATTCACTTCTGGTCAATCTTTAACTGTTTTGATGCACTGGAAGTTCAGTTCAGTGTGAACAACCATTAACCACGCACTTTCGTGTGCCGGTTTTGTTTGCTGTCTTTTACCTGCCATTTTGATGAACACTAGGAGAAAGACAGGAAAAAAGTTGAAAGTAGAGTCGAACAGGAAATGGAGAATTTCAGTGGCTAAGGTTGCAAAAAAATTGAGGAGATGCACAAACGCCACCGTTTAAGACACTCAGTCGTGTCACTCAGTGTCTCTCACCAGTGCTCACAATGATCCGGAGGTCGCATTTAGGCAACCTAACACAACAGCGGTGTTCAAACACTGACAGTCCATCTTTATCCTACCCCCTGAATGGCCAAGTTTCTGCACCGTATAGCAGAACTCGCCGAACTGCCGTAACATACACTCGGCCTTTAACAGATAACCGGATGTACCGACGGCGCCACAGGTGTCTCCTTCAAGCTATCCAGAAAAGTTTGGAACTTATATGGATACCCACTTAGCAACACAATGTCATCTACATACTGCAAATCAGACAGTCTGACATATAGGAGCAAATCGATGCCACTATCCTCGCACGAGGATAGGGTTGTCTCCATCATCAGATCTGAAACAAAGTTAAATAGAAAAATAGAGAGGGCAACCCTGACGAACACAACTTTCCGTGATGAACCCGGGGAAAAATCCCGTAAGCCCGGACTCGACTTCGGCTATTAGTATAAAGCGATCGTAATATTGAAATTAACTTCTCGGGAACACCCTTCAGGGAAAAGCAGCGCCGGAGTTTAGAGCGGTCGACTGAGTCGAAAGCCGCTCTCAGATCGAGAAAGACAGAGACGGTGGGTCTAGGAAAAGAATTTGGTGAAGAGTAAAGATGCGGTAGATACAAACTCGACCGTGCACCGTTAACGTGCGACAGACAATAGACGGGTTATGATGCCAGTGAGAAGTTTAGAGATGATGTTGATTAAACTAATTACTCTGTGGTCTTCACTGGAGGGTCTGTCATCCTTCTTGAAAATCGGTATGATGACCGAATCAAACTATTTCGCTAGAACCTCTTTCTTCTCCCACACTGAGCCCAGGAGTTTCGTCAACTCCAAGACTAACGCTGAGCCTCCATCTTTCAATGCTGATGGGCACAGCCCATCCGCGCCAGATGCTTTTTGAGATAGCTTATTTCTGGGGAAACCTCCATTTCAGATGAAGGACAGGCATCAACTGGGAGTATTTGCCCAGTCTCGGTGGAAGATGATAGTTCAGATGTCGATGGGGACCAGTTGAACTGAGCCTCGAAATGTTCAGCCCATCCATCAAGACGGCGTTGCTGATCGTAAATCAGTGTGCCACCGGATTCCTTAATTACCTCATGCCTATTTTCCTGGGGCCTGTATTTCTAAATAGACAGAAGAGATTGCAATTATTACCAATAGCCACAGCTTTCTCATCTCTTTACACTTTCCTATACATTACTTCTCTCAGTCATTCCTCAAACTTTTGATGGGCTTTCGTTTAAGAGATTTGCGCTCTGTGGCATATGTTGCACTGTAAATTAAGGCCCAACGTAAAACACTTGTTCGCTTCTGAACGTGTGTTCTCAAATCAGATCGAGGCAGCGCCAGAATTTAGAGCGGTCGACTAAGTCAAAAGTCGCTTTCAAATCGACGAAGATTGAGATGGTGGGTATACGAAAGCAGTGTCTGTGTTCTAAAATCTGTGGAAGGGGAAAATGTGATATATACAAACTCCACCAGATTTTTCAACTTTCAAATTTTCAAATTTTTATTATGGAATATAACTTACAAACACTTCGCTTTTACAAATCCCATAAGGTGTTTACACATTGGTTCGGATGAATAATCACAATATCACAGTTAGTCCATGAAAGTAAAGTGGTAAACTAATGTTTTCACGAGCACAGGAGAATATGTTATGTAGTTGGGTGTTAAAATGTAACGCTTGCCAGGGCATCATCAAGCTGACGCTTGAATGATACTAATGTTG